CCTGCTCTGATACCATGTTGAGCAGGAGAAGGAGAAGAAGAAAGGAGGAAGGAAGAAGAAGAAGAAGAAGAAGAGGCTACTGAGTTAAGGCCTCAAAAGAACAGCTTCAGTCGAGTGAAGCATTGTATTTATACTATACTGGCCGTACAACACAATAGGTCTACAAAATTACAAAAATACCCCTGCGGGCACTAAACCTGTGTACAGTACATATAATACACCTGTCAACAGTAACCATTATATATAGTGCCTTAGAACCCGGGGCAACAGTAGACAGATAACGTTAAATAGCCAATATAACTTGTGAAGTGTCATTTGTTCAGGGATCAGGGCATATTGTTGATTTTGTCCCCTAAGAAATTCCTACAAAGTAATCATCAAATTGGATGAACTTTAACCATATAATGGATGCATCATTTTGGGACCTTTCTATGAGTTGAAATAAAACATTCAATATGGTAACTCACAGTGGCATAAAACTTTAACCTATATAACTTGTGAAGTGCCACTTGTTCAGGGATCAAGGCATATTGTTGATCTTGCCCCCTAAGAAATTCCTAGATAAGTAATCATCAAATTGGATGAACTTTAACCATATAATAGATGCATTATTTTGGGACTTTTATATGAGTTAAAACAAAATATTCACTATGGTAACTCACAATGGAATCATGGTTCAACACGATTTTTGAGCCCAGTAATATATAGTGGAACCCAGACAGTGGACAGTACTGTGCCCTCTGAGCTTGAGATGTGGCAATTCACTAGACCCCAATCAATGTACCAGTAATAAGACAGAATTAGATCCATGATTTATCAATCCCTTTCTTATCAATAACTAATAATTTCATTAGATACTTCGATCATGTAATCAGTATGGCCTCCCAGGTGTTCATCATAACTAGTAATGGATTTGTTGAAGACCTTCTTTGCTGAACTGTATTGCCAAACATAATATGCTTGTTAGATGTAACATATTATGGCCTCCAAGGTCATAATATGTTTTGTTCTTTTCCTCTTTGTAACATACTATCATCAAAATATCATTATTCTGTTGAATATCCAAAAAAAAAGCACATTATTTTCTATATTTTATGTTTCTTGTTTTAAATAGTTGTTTTGGTTGTAATAATAACTTCCAAATATGTATCAATTTCTATTCTATATTTTTATAAAGGTTTACCGTTTATCATAGATTTCAAACATTTTCATAGTGTTCTAATAGTTTCATAATTTTATTATGCTTCTACAAGTCAACTTTAAGAAAAAGCAGTAAAGAATCAATCATGTCATGATAGTTTTTTTTTTTTTTGTTAACTTTAGGAGAGTGTGAAGCAGAAAAATAAAATATATGACAACATTAAAATTTGAATAAACAGAACCAGAAAACCAGAGTTGAATACAACTACCACAGGTAAGTGTAGAGAAGGAAATCCTCCAGGGGGAAATACAAAGTCAGTTCCTACTCCAATTGGTCCCACAAGTCTTCTATTTCCTACTGATGCTGAAGGATCTAAATTCATGTCGCATATCTTCTTCACCTTCTTCTCTTGAACCTATTCAAAAGTTACACAAAAGACAGTACAATTTTTGTGAGACTAGCCTTCTTTTCCCCCTCTAAAGATGCTAAAAAAATGCTGGTGAGAAAAAGAGAAAAAACGATAACCAGGATATCATAGACACCAAAAAGCACCAATGGCAAACAAACGATTAATATAAAAAGATTCACCACAAAAAAAATAGGTAATTATGATTTGGGTTTGATGTGAATTAGCATTGAAATGGAGAGAATGACAAGCAGCACAGAGATTAGAGAAAGGATACCTAAAAAGTAGGTGAACAAGAGAAGACATAAATCAGAATATGTGTATACAGACACAAGGACCATTATGTGATGTTGGTTTCAGCTATCCATGGTCTTGGGTGGGGACTACTGGATACAGACCTAACCTTTGTTATTTTCTGCACACAATGTGTTCTCTTGCTTGAAAGCCCAAGATTTTATCATTGCACCAAGCAATGGTTCCTTTGTATAATAAGAACTATAAAAGCCACAGATCTGATAACTAGGGTTCGTACAGGAGAAGGGAGAAAAGTTTTGAGGGGTGTGTCTTGTGTATCACACACCCAAACAATATATGTTATATATTAATGAAATACAAAAATGAGAAAGGACCATTGTGCCATTCTCTAGTTCAAGAAAGAATAAAAGAACTAATAAGAAATATATGCAGTGATATGGTACATAGTATACACACTAAAAAGATACTCCCAAATAAGAAAAACAAGAGATCGGCCCTTCTCTTTACAACCCCCTCAAACTGATGCTGAGAAAAAAGCATCAGTCTATCAGCTAGAAATTTGTGTCGAGGATGAGTCATAGCTTTGGTGAAGATATCTGCAAATTGAAGCCCAGAAGAGATATGAGGAAGAATCTGATCTCAAATAAAATGGAAATCAACCTCAATGTGCTTTGTGCATTCATGGAACATAGGATTTGAGGCAATCTTGATTGCACCAAACATTATTAGCTTGGATATGAACCGAATGAGAGACCAAAATATATAAGTCATGAAGAAGAGCTTTAAACCTACAATCTCACTGCAAACAGATGACATGGTGTGATACTCTGCTTCAATAGAGGATTTAGATACTGCTGGTTCCTTCTTGGACTTCTAGGAAACTGTTGGAAAACGTGGGATTACTGGTGTAGATGTATATTTGGTAGTTAGCATTTATATTTGGTAATTGTGTAAAAATAGAATTATGTGAATATGTATTC